TCGGCTTCCACCCACTTTGTAAAATAATCTACTGCCACAATAAAAAATTTTCGTTGACCTATTCCTTGCAGCAGTGGTCCGACCAAATCTACACACTGAGCGAAAAAATTGGTGCACTCATGGTAATCATCTCTTCGGCCGGTTGATGTAGCAGGGGGTCGTGCTTCTGACAGTTTAAACACCTTTTGACAATTTCTTTGGCGTCAAGCCTCATGGTTGGCCAGAAGTATCCCGTTCGAAGGGTCTTCGCGACCAACGACCCAACTTCACTGTGGTCACCATTTAATCCTTCATGTATGTCTGTCAGAACACTCCGCCCTTCTTCTTTCCCCACACACCGAGGGCCTAGCATACGATCTTATATAGGACGCCATTGTGTTCAAAGAACCTTCTCATAGTTCGAAAATTTATTTTCTTCAGCTCTGCGATTATTGGGGATCTCCAATCTTTCAACTCTTCAATCATGGCGACCTCCTCTCCTATCACACTCATATGTTCACGTTTGCTATTGAATTCGTGAAAAGTACATAACGAGATCCTCATAGATCCCAACAGCATCGTTGCAGGATCAGCCGTTTCAACCTCGCTGACAAGCTACCAAAAAAATATTATGATCTGCCTAGCCACTCTAGCTCTCCTGGCTCTGGTCACCTGTCCCTACAAGTATAAGATAAAAAATTCAGAATTAAACAACATAATGTATTATGTACATAAAGTTTAATTAAAATGAAACAAACAGTAGAAAATACCAAATGAAACATTAAACTTTAAATTACCTGACTCTAACACTTCTAGTGTGTTGTAGAACTGGTGGATCATTTGGACAGTAATCGGTTCTGTAGAATTATGTGTCATACGAAACTGACAGGCAGAAGAAATTCCGTGAGTGTATCTCAATGCACATCTGCATCGCCAGTAAACATCATTGCCTCAAGTTTTCCATCCGCCTCAGCTCAACATTCAACACATTCAGACAGTGATGCGAGACCTGCAGTGACAAGTATGCAAACGGGAATCCTGTATACTGCACACCCTTCCTAAGTCTCAAAGACTCCAGCTTAGACATGGTAACCCATCGTCCTTTTCCTTTTGAACCCAGTCGAAAGCGGGAAAGACAGCTTGCTCATGAGTATTGGGTTCGGACTGGTTCACATATATTTGATTCCACCGAGGTATGTTTGCAAAGTAGATCACATTACATAACATTAGACACATTGAAAATTATAATTAATGCAGTAAATATATGAAACTTAAATAATGTACCTAATTTCAGTATGTTGAGACTCAATCTCCTTATTAATCTTCTCCCACACTGTATTGAGTGCACCGAGTGCACCGATCGATGTGTTAAGCCAGGTCTTCAACACAGCGTTGGCACTCTATACCATACACGAAGTTGTGTTTTTAAAATAATACAAGTCTCGCACCCCGAACGGCTGGAAACCGTCTCCAGCTTGTTCTTCTCGCCGGTTGAACATGGAACCTGCACGAAACTCCAACACCGGAGGTGTTTTCCGGTGAAGAGCCTCCAACGCTCAAGTCAGATCTTGAGAGATAAGATATTTGTATGTAAATATGTATAAGTATGAGAACAATTGTATTGAAAAGTGAGGATTCTCGCCCTTATTTATAAGGACGAGCTGCCTGTTCTACACGCGCGAGTGGGGCGAGTTTGGCCAACCGTCCTCTGCTCGTCCGTACAACCGCGCACCTCCACTATCCTTGACGTCAGGGAACGCGTCCAATTTGTCAAAGAATTGAGAGTTCGTTATAGCCATGGGCCACTCATAGGATGCCGCGTGTCCTCCTTTCACGTGTTGGAGATTCTCTTGTGCATTCTGCTGCTCGACCAAGTCTATACGACCACGCCCCGTCCGACCATCCTTCCTCGACCAACTCCTCGAGTAGTCGGTGCATGTCAATCACTTTTGAACCCATTCGTCTCTGTTGTCTGTTCTCTGTCCTTCGTTGCAAGTGTCTGGTCCGGTTTGACCATACCATTTGACCCGTCTTATTTAGCTAACCCGACGAACCAGTCTATTTTCTCTGGTTAGCCCAACAAATCGGTCTAGTATATAATATCCCATATCATCTAGTCCCCCCACTCTGGTCGAGTCTGAATGACTCGATCTAAGAGTATGCTTTTGTCTATGTCATGGAGGTTCTGCTTCCTTGTTTTCGACCACCTAACACATTTCCTTCCTTTGCGCGTTTACTTTCCTTTCTAACCGCCACTTTGCGCCTTTTGAATTTCAAATTTCACCACTTTTCCGCCCTTTTGGGATGCGTCTTTTCGTCTGATAACCTCGTGACCTGTGTTACCTCGAATCTCGCCCCCACTCCCGCGCATCTCTTTTTCCTGCCGTTAGATTTCCTACTTTAATTCTACGGCTCGGGACTACGTGTCTGTTCGCTTGTCCTCCGATCGTAGCCCTTCATTACTTATGATCCTGCGGTCGGCGATTTCTCCCATTCACTTTTTGCCCTTCTAAATATCCACACTTAGGGAAATTTTTCCCTTTTCTTCACTATCGCACTCCATCGCACTAGAGCTTTCTGCAACTGTCGAGCATCCTGCAACCTTGATTTCTCTGTCCTATCTGCAAGCTCTCCGTCGTTTGCCATGATTAAGTCTTCTTAGCTTTCAATTTATGTTTGTTAACTTTTAATTCTCAGGTTCCTCCTCTTTCCTTTGAACATCTTCTCGATTCTGGCCACGTCCATTGTTCGTCCTTCCCGCTGTGTTCTCCTCCATTCTTTCCTACCTTGTTATTTGCTTTTGCTCTTTCCTTTGATTCATTATAATTTTCCTTTCTTTTATCTCAGATTCTGCTAATTCGAGTGAGAATGATCGATACAACGGGAAGGACCTGACTCCCCCTTCTTCTTCTGTGACCCCCGGCCTATCGAGCGATTCTGTACAAGAAATTCTTCTGCCTGAGCCTCTTTCCATCATCCCCCTGCGACGATCAGCGATAGTCCTACAGCCACTGCTATCTCTCCGTCCACCTACCTTGTCGACCAACCGGAGGATGAGGTTACCAGCCGCCCTCCTTCTCCTCCCGCCGAGCGTGTTCGTCGAGCTATCGGCCAAGATGACGAAATCGAAGACGAGGACGATCCTCAGGACCACATCCCGCTGTCTACTCGTGATCCCAAAGACTATGTTCATTTGTCCTCTCGCGCCCCGGTCTCTTCGACCATACCTTCATGCTCCCATCAACCCAAGTCATCCAAACAGTCCAAATCATCTAGACCATCTTCGAGCGTTACCCGTCTCGACTTTGATTTGATTGGTCATCCCGGGACTGCTCGTACCCCTGGCGATGATGAGACCTACGATAACCCTCTTGATGGCTATTACACCTTCTTCTGCTCCCATTTCGACCGGGGCCTTCGTTTCTCTATCTGCCAGGCATTAATCGACCTGTGTGGTTTGTACGACCTGCCTCTCAACCAGATCACTCCAAACGCCTTCAGGACATTAGCGTCCTTTATCATTTTGTCCATGGTCCGTATGGGTAGAGTAGATTTATATTTCTTTGTTTATTGCTATTTTGCTTCGAAACAATCAGACGACCTCTATTTAAAAAGCCAGAATAAAGATTGTTTCATTACTGATCGATCATCTAATGTCCCGAGATAGAAAGATCAGTTTGTGTATATACGTCCCCCGCAGCCTCACCCTTGGGCGCCCACCCCTGGTTCACAGAGGTGCCCCTTAAACCTACTCATCCTCCTACCAACCCAATCTTCGACCGCCGAATACAAGTGTGGAATTCGAATCCCGTCGTTTCTACCCCTTTACTCGAAGATGATTACCTCCTCCACCATTGTGGAATTTTGACCCATAAAAAATTTTTGCCTCTTCTCGCCGTGACTATTCTTCAAATCCGAGTTGAACCCGCTCTTGCTGAAGCTAATCTGAAAGCTCGAGCAGGTGCTCGATTTTAACATCGTTGTCTATCTTGTATTTATTTTTTCATATCATCGACTAACTTTCTTCGATTTGCAATTTGTTGGTATAGAGAGATTTTTGCACAAACCCGACCTCAAAAAATCTGGCGATATGAGGTCCACTCATAAGGATGCCTCAGCCAATGTCGAGAAGGCCAAGCGGCAGTCCTCGACCAAAAACGTTGCCTCTCGACCGGAGAAATCCAGTGTTGGCGCTTCCACTCATTCGAGCAAACAACGGGCTCCTCCTTCTCCGCTCAGGCAAGTCAAGCGCCAACCTACTCATTCGATCAGAGAAAGCGACGCATCCAAGAAGCGCCCTCGGTCCGAGGTGACTGGTCCACACTCCGCCAATCCTCCGCCTTCCCCCAAGCGGTCACAACTTGAGGTAACTTCTACAGGGAATCCCCTTTCCCAGCACTCTCTTTCTATTTTCTTGGTGTCGGTTGGACCTCGGGAGGCTGAGTCTCGGTTGATGAGCTTCCTACCCTTCGACAATACGCACCGATGGGGGGTGAATCGTCGAAATCAAGCCGAATACGACATTCGTGCAGTGACACAGGTATATTTCCCTTCTAGCACTGTCTTCAAGTATCCTGTTTGGCATCCTTCACATTCTTCTTCTTGCTATAGACTCTGGTCTCCATTGTGCCTATCCTCAAGGAGACGATGAATGGCACTGGTCGCCCAATCCCTGTACTCGAGGGCGACAGGCGCCTCGAGGAGGAGAATAGGAGGTTAAAGGCCGAGAACGAGGACCTGCTCAAAACACGCCACGCCTTGGCTGAGCAACTAAATAAGGACGAGCAACGCTATAAGGATGCGTTGAAGGTTAAGGATAAACCCCTTGAAGTGGAGAGGTCTGGTCGGAAAAAAGAGGTCGAGGCTACTGCTATCACTGCGATTGAGCAGTCTCGTCGGGCTTTGTGGAGGACCCAAGT